TGTATGTGATGTCATCAACTAGGGTAGTATCGATTTTGGGTATAAGACGGAAAAAAAACTAAAACTTTGCCCCCTGTGCGACACGTCTTAACCGTGTGCTTATGGATTTGACTTTGCACTTCTCACTGAACAGCCTTCTTTGGGAATCTTATGGTGAATTCGTTGCTACCAAAAAATTTCTCCTTTTGTCTGCCCCTTTCTCTTTTCGACTTCGATTCTAAATCAAAAGCAAAGGGTGAGAAAATTTTGTGCTCGTTTCTTAAAATGTCACACTTTTGTAATGCAAAAAAGGCACATTCTCTGCCCTGTGAAACTTTGTCAAGGGAGATAGTTGCCCTGAAAATCAGAAGATTATTTAAAACAACAATTTTATGAAATTCGTGAGCTGGACAAGGACAAGAAGGCAAAAACATGCCCTTTTACAAGGCTGTGTGTAACATCAAACACATTTTGCACCGGAGAAGAGCAAAATTTTTCGTAAGAAAAAAAAATCACCATTATATTAAGTTCAGACAGAAATTTAATTGAGTCAATTAAATTTTTCATAGAGCTACCACTTCTTGGTGTCCACACACAGTTAGCCGCTCCATTAGCTACAGTGTTGGAAAAGTTTGTACAATCGTACCTTTACTTAGTTTGAAAATACATTCGGTACAACCACAGCATTTTAGGTACATTTGGGACGTAGTCAAATAAGTTTTCAGGACATCAGTTCTTATTTTTAGTCACATTTCAATGCATTTTCTGGTGCGGGTGACTTGTCCAATAGCCTCCCTCCTTTGTGAAGGGGCATACAAATGATACAAAAGGTTAGTAAAAGTAACGAAACTGTAGTCAATTACGTNTCTTTTTCATAGCCAAATTTGTTTAATGAGTCCGGAAGTGGAAAGACTATCCTCTTATTTACTATAATATATACATATAAAATGGCATATTTACTTTAAAGGTTCATTTATCTACTTTTAGGTAATGCTTTACCGCAAATTAGGTACAAGTTTTGAACTCAATTTTCCATCACTAACGGGATATCAACTGAGAAGGAGGACCAGAAACAAACAGCTGATTGCTATATATATACCTATCAGGGATGCATTAAAAAATTCATTCAATTATCACTCAATTAAGTACTAATGGAGCCATTAAGAATTGAAATTTTGTATGGTAAATCGCTCTAGTTCAGCGCCTTAATGGAGAAAGCTTGGCTAATTGCTCAATTAGCGGCCTGTCTGAACATACTTTTATACTCAATTGAGGAACTAATTGTACAATTTATTAATCTAGCCCTTTAATGGTTGATAAACGGAGCTCAATTAAAATAAGGCACATGCTTTAACATAGTGTGAACCTAAAATTAATAAAACAATTTTTGGTTGCAATAAATATACTCTTTAGGTAATGTATGCTTTCGTTTTTGTGTCATACATATGTTATTATAATTAGATTTTTTTTAATTAGTTTTTTTTTTCGTTTTATAATAGTTGATTACTTAATATAACTGTACATTGACCCAGTGATAATCCTAAATATCAATTTTTAGAAATCCTACTTTAAAAGTGCGTGAATAACACTAACAACAATTATCAAAACTGCTGCTAAGCTACTTATCCCGGCAGCATTACGACTTTCCAAGTAGTGTAACAATTTTGGTAAACGATCCTCAGCCCACTTTAAGTTCATTTCCACCGTCTTAACGGCATCGAGCAATTTTGAGACGGAGCCACCAAACAGATCCCCTTTATTTGCAACGAAATCATCCAGCTTTTTCTTCTGCTCCAGTGTGGTAAAATAGTTTGTAATCTCACTGATGACATTTGCAGCATTTGACCAACCTCCAATTCTACAACAATAAAAAGAAGGTGACGTCAACCCAAATACATACATGATTTTAAACCTAACCTTTCTGCTAATTTTTCTATAGTATTACTGATCAGCGCGAATACGACATCCACATTTTCTGGATTCTGAGCATACATTGGTGTAATACCAATAACTGCATATTCGCTAGTTAAGTTCCCACTCAGAATCTTAACGTAATGCAATTCATAGAAAAATCGCGTACATCCCATGGCTCGTATCAGCTTTTGCTTCTCACTGGGCAATTTCTCGTTGTCGAACCAATCGTTCAGTGTTTTATAATAAGACATAGTGCCATCTCGAGCGGCACTGCAGTAGAGGGTTTCACGAAAATCTGGGGTCGGCTTGTTGCCGGCCGTTTTAAATGCGTCAAACACCTGCTGCGCTTGCTTTCCGCAATCGAATAAATGATACATGCACGCCCAGCTGATGACCTTGTTGCGATTGTAAATATCGAGAACGGTGTCATTGGAGCGTCCGAAGCCCAAATGCTTGTACACTTTGGCCATAATGTCACTTAAATAGCTGATCAAGTGTTTGTGCTGCTGCACCGTTAGTCGCTGTGAGACACGCGGCAAATTCGAGAACATCGCATTCCACGGTAAGTATTCGGTCTCATGCGCTAAATATTCCATAAATTCAAACACCCTATCGTAGTCCAGCATAGCGACCCGCGCAAAATTAAATAAATCGTCAACTAGCTGCGCGCGATTAGTGGACGGTATGCCACTATGTTGCGCCGCTAACAAAGCCTTTTGAATTTGCAGTAGCGTCGTGTTGTCGTAGAAAACGCGATAATAGTTGGATTGCTGCAAATTAAATATGATCCACTTGTTCGGTTTCTCGGTGTGGAAAGTCATTTCGCTGTTCCTCGATAAGTAAAATCGGGCAGTGAGATCATCGAAATTTGGATCTGTGTCCGAGGCATAGGTGATGGGAATGATGTAGGAGAGCGTGCTGTCACTACCATCACTTGAATCAAGCAAGAATCTCCTTTGAGCAAGTTTAATGGTGTGCTCAGCAGTGACATTTACAAAAAGCGCCGGAAACCCGGCCTGCGAGGTCCAATCGTAAAAGAACTGATCCAAATCCACAGACGGTGTGGAAGGCCAGTAACGTTTTAAATGCTTGAAAAAATCATCCGGAACAGTGTTTTTCAAATGGCTGTGAATGTAAGCAAAAAAATTATATTTAGAAGAAACTTCAAGTTTACAAAAAAGGAGAAATTTAAAGTTGAATAGTTCCGAAGAACAATCTTGCAGATCTTAAGTACAGATTTTGTATTAGAGAATTGATTTACATTTTTTTCGAAAGTTTGTTTTTAACCCAAACTACAAAAGTAAGAATTTTAAATTTTTCCTCTAAAAAGTACGTAATAGCCGTTAACAAAAAAGTTTAAATCAATTTTCGGCTATTCCAACCATGAAAATGAATTCCCCGACGCAAGTACAGCAAAAATTTGACTTTCAAAGAGTTCAAAACCTCCATTTTTTAAGGTAATTTTAAGGGGAAGGCAATAGAATTACCCAACGGGAATATTTTTCCTGAACTCTCCATCACTTAGGCTTTAAAATGCTGTTACATTTATTTCGTTATCTCATTATCGAGATATTTATTAGATTTTGCCACAGAAGAAAAGCTCATTTTGCACACTGTGCATCGGATGCTTTGACAGATGTTCACAAATGAAATACTCATTTGAACTCATCTGTCCAGGAAAAGGAACAGGAAAATGGAACCAGTAATTGTTAAGCAAAATAAATTAGTATAGGATTACCCTTAAGGTACCACCTTTCCGACAAAAAAAAAAGAGTTATCGAAAACGGTTCACTTGGACTTAGGTAATCCGGTAACATACATAAAAAATATTCCGACGAATTCATAGCCTCCTCTTTTTTTGCAGTCGGTTAAAAAATAGTACTAAAGTTAGGCAGTTCAGTATTTAAGCTATTGAAGCCTCAGGAGTAAGGAATTCCCCTGAGAAAAGCTTTCTCGCACAAGTCGCTTCTAGAATGGACTGCTCTTCATAGTTTTGTACAAGCAACAGCAGCATCGATGGTACTGCACCTGCGAGTTTTAACGAAAACTTTATACAAAAAGGCTCCAGGCAGGTCTAAAGATGATGAAAAAAGCAAGGATAAGCAAATCGAATGAAAGTATTAGATAGAGCAGCAAAAAGTGGCTAAATTTAATTAAAATACCAATATAAGGGTGACCCGGAAAAAATCGAAAAACGCAACCAAACAATTTTCTAAAAAAACTTAAGTGTACTAACACCAAAACACAGCCTCGCTTTAAGGTACATTTGCGGCGAGGTCCATCCAAAAGGTTACGAACTCCCTCACAATAACATCCAAGCCTCTAGGGTAACTTTAACCCGCCAAGCGACATGGCTCTGGGTGCGCGATGCTAAAGGGATGGTCTTCAGCTTGCAGGGTTATTTGTTCTGCTACATTAAGTAACTAAGTAGCCTCTTTCCATTCGAATTTTTAATTGGGAATAGCAAAAATATGGTTCATTATGCTCTAAAAACAATCCGTGTGAAAGATGTCAATTTTTGGTCAATATCTTCGACTCGCCCAAGTCCATTAAAGTTCAATGTGCTCAAAAAATAAAAACTAATAAGTACATTAAATAATAATTTGTTTTTTACTGAAATTACAATTTACTTCAAAAGTATTAGTCCAACATAATTTGGTATATGGACCTTTTTTGTAGAGAATCGAAGTAAGCTAATAAAAAAGTTTGTGAGCACTTGAACTTTGATGGCCTTGGGCGAGCCAAAGATATTGACCAAAAATTGTTATTTTTGACACAGATTGTTTTTAGAGCATAATGAACCACGTTTTTGTCATTACCAACCAGAATTTAAAAAAATCGAATTCTCGGCCCACGCTAGTATACATACATATAATTACGTAAATGTGTTTACATCTACTTACAATTCCTTTAAATAAGCACGAATGGCTGTATCGAAGTTGTCGACACCCATCAAGTTAGCAATCATACGCAATATAGACGCGCCTTTAGCATAAGCTATACTACTAAATTTATAACCGATTTCTATTGGATTTTGTATTTCTGTCTCTGGGCTAGTCATCGGCTGGGTACTATTGACTGCGTCGATGCCAAAGATCAAATGTATTTGATTTACAACGAATTGTTGATCTAACAGATATTCCGGATAGAGCTGAGAAATCATAAATAAATTTTGTCATAAATATGGTGAGTCAAGAAGTTAAAATTAATAATAAAAAGCAATGAGCATGATAAATTTTATGATAGCTACCTTGTGTGCCATAAAGTACTGTTAGTAGCGTGCGAACGCCTCATTTAGCCAAAAATAACTCCACCAGGCAAATGTGACGCTGTCGCCGAACCACATATGGGCGGTTTCATGCACGATTATGCTGATAGTGTACTCCTTATTTGACCAGCCATCGGTGTATCCTGGTTCGTTTACCAGCACATCGTCACTAAGTACAGGCATTTAATGACAGGAAAACAGAGGAGATATAAGCTGCGTTCCAGATGCTTCACGATTTGCAGATTTTACAGGATTTGCAGGAACAGCTGTTTTCTCCATTAACAAACCTTATGGTAGGTGGTCACATGGAACGGCTTCCTGAGAAAATCTGCAAACCGTGAAGCATCTGGAACCTATAGTTACCTATAAATAACCAAACCCCAATTCTCCATGCCATTATATGGAAATTTAGGTGAACCCGCTTTTTGCATAATAGTTAGCCCCAATTGCTTGTAGGGGAGCTGTGTGTATTCATCATAAGCTTTGATCGCTTGTTCTGAAACCTGATAAGCGAAATCGGTTTTATTTATATATTCCGCGCGAGTAATAATCTTAAGATCTTCACTTCCACGTTTTGCGAATTCAGAAACGATAAATGCAAACAAGTAGGTAGACATGGGCGGCGTCGCAGCAAAACGATCTAGGGCACGGTCGTCACTGAAAATGTGCAAAAATAGATTCTTAATTTTTGGTTTTCTATTTTTATGTCGAATAAATTCCTGAACTATTGCAATGATACAGTGATAATTCAAAAGATGTGGGCGTGTATACATATATCAATCCAATCCATGTTAAATGGACCAATGGTTGGAATCGACCATTTTTTATTTTGATGAGTAATGGAAGATTTCTGAATTTTCTAGATTTATCAATTTCCTGGATTTTGAAAGTTTATTTTTTGAATATCTTAGATTTTTTTTTTAAGTTAAAAGCTGATATTTTGTGGCTATATAAAAAAATGTTTATAAAGAAATTCAAAAAAATTTTAGAATTTCGAAATCTAAAAAATCGCAAAAGAAAAAAATGTTTAATTAAATTTTTGGCAAAATTTTTTTTATACAATGCCTTCAACTTAGCTTAAGAGTTCCTGAAATTTTCAAGAACGTGATATGAATTTTTAAACTAAAAAAAATGTTTTGCAAATTCTAAATCAAAAACAAATTTAAATTAAATGAAAATTGTTTAACATAACTTTATTTAGAGTTTGCAAAAATAATCTTCAAATTAAAAAAAAAACATGTTTATCAACGAAAAATGATATCTACGTCGACAACGACAACCATAATAGGGCCGAATATTTTATTTATATCCTAAATTTAATCGCCACTAAATAAGTGAGTTAATCTTAGCAGCAAATTAGTTTTGACAGTCTAGACAATCTTATCAGAGAGTTTTAATTTAAGTACTCACCCGTCTGGTATACTATCCAACAATTTGCTATTGAAAACTACATTGTATTGGGTTGGTCGACTTAGTTGTAAGCGGAACGTAGCCTTAAAGGCTGGTTCGTCAAAACATGGAAATATAGTGCGTGCATCGATACGCTGGGACTGCGTTAATCCGATCCATCTGTAATGCGAAAAAATAAAAAAATACCAAATGATTTTGCATACTTCCTGAAATAACTGAAATAGCTATTTATCATTTCACCTACTTTTCATTGCCGGAGCTATCGGTGTAATTAGCACGGAAAAATCCCTGCAGACCATCACGTATCTGCCCAATGTACTTGAAGCGCAGCGTATAGTTGTTGTTCGATATTTGTTGATCCCCCAAATGCACTGTTAGTTTATGAGTTGTCTCATTGTAGGTTAAATCATCGTTGTCGAACGACTTTATAAGCCCACCACCGACAATGCTGTTGTTATAAAGCCAAGCGCCATTGATCTCAATTAGGTTTTTATGCAAAGTAATTTCGCTTATACTTGTGCGCGTGGAGTGTAACGTTATATTGACTTCGCCATCGAAAGTGAAGCGACGCGTTCCATCTGTAGCCAGCAGGTATGGCTTTAACCAAATGTCATAGGCGTCGGGTACCGCATCATCACCCAATCGGTAGGATGATTCGAAGACGCCGTTATTAGCTTTCACAGAGCCGCAGGCCAGCAACAAAAGAAGTATTGTGATTTTAGAATTCATTGGATACACATGCACTCATATGTAAGAGATTGGATCAATTAATCGAATAAAGCACATATTCAAAATTTCGAAAATAAATTTACTTAGTTAAAAAAATTAAGAAAAATCCCCTTTGACCAAACTACGCATGGAGGCTGGTGAAGACGTTCTGCAATTTTTCGTATGATATTCTCATTGCTTCGTGCTTGGTATTTGGTGTCTGCTCATTATCTCTTATATTAGCGTGAATTAACAACAACGTACTAATCTTACATAAAAATGTACATAACAAGAATATACGAATGTACATATAAATATGCATATGTATTTACATTAGGGTGATCAAAATAAATGCATTCACACAAGTAAGTACGGAATTTTAATGCTTCAAGCCTCTGGAATTGTTTTATATCGTAAAAAATAATCGTCCGTTTTCTTGTTTTGGAATCACAAAATATTTAGAGGTCAGTCAAAGTTTCCCATGTATTTTATGTTTTACGTAAATATGGTTGAGAATCCCTTATAATCAATATTTTTAAACCGGCAAACTATGTTTCTCTTCAGGAGACTTCAAAGAATAATACTCAATTCTGTATTTAATAACTTTTTAAGATTAACGATTTTTTATTATTTTTTTTTTGGGGGATTTCGGGGACCCTTAAAAAAATAATATTAGAAAATGTTTAAATAAACAAATATTTTTTAAGTTTCCTGAGTAGAAACATAGTTTGCCGATTAAAAAATATAGATTATAAAGGAAAATTGTGTGTCTGGTTTGTTATAGTAAACTGTATAAAAAATTATAACCACATAAACAGACAGGTGTGAACACTCACATTGTCTTTTCCCATATGAAATAAGTACATGGAAAACTTTGAGCGTTTATTTGAGGGTTAATTTTTTCGATGTACAAATGTACTTTGGGTTGAAAATATTAAAATTCCGATTTATCTTTGTTTGGACCACCGTAATGTATATGCACACAAATATATAGTACAAGTATGTTTACAAATTGTATTCTGTCGCTATCACTGTTTTATTTATGATTGTATTTACTCCAATTCGTACACATTTTATGATCATTTTGCATTTAACAGCGCAACAATAAACAAATTGCTTAGGTAACGATTGCAGGTGATAATCGGATAAGGCAGAAGATCTGCTAATATATTATTTAATGGCGCACACCCTGCAAAAATCGCGACTACTCCATGCATGCATGTAAAGAGTACTCCCGAAGGACCAAGGAGTACTCCAAAATTAATCANCAAGACAAAAATTAAAAATTACATGTTGCCTCTGACGGCATTTGAACCCGAACATGCTGGGAGCTCACAACTAACAGCGAGCATCTCTACACGTTCAGCTACAGCCAGACATGCAAATGTGCTTTCAAATGCTCAACTTCAATCACATTTCGTTAAAACACGAGCAGTTATCGGGTAACAAACAATAAGCTGGCGCAGAGACACGAGTTGGTCCGCTACAGCATGACAGAGGAGCACTTTTGTAAGTACTCCAATATACCACAAATAGACTACATGGTCCAACGATTTTTGCAGGGCATATACACATACGCATATACACAGAAAGTCTAAGTTCGGGCGGAGCCGAACATTAAATACCCGGCGCAA